TCATCCAGTCCAGCCTGAACTTGTACCAGAACCTCCTCGAAAGCATCCCCAACAACAATGTTCAATTTTGTTTGAGGATCTCCATAGGAAGAAAAACCACTACTCACAAAGGCAGCCAATTCATCTTTGGGATAGCCCTACTAATACCTGAGGGGTTTTCCTTAGATATGGCTGAATCCTTTTAGCAACTTTCACCTTTGAGTTTGATTCTGCCCCTGGGGCCAAACACAGCAAGTCTATCTATTATTATCTATTAATGTACTATAATTTATTTATCCATTCCTCAACCATTGGGCATCACATTGTTTCTATTTCTTTGTTATCAGATACACACACATGTTGCACACATAAGGCCTTTCTTTCTCTGACCTCCTTGGTATTTGTGTCCTATCAATGTTATCTCTGGGTCAAAGGGTATGGACATTTTAGGCACTGCCATAGCATGATTCCCAAATTGCTTTCCAGAATGGTTGGACCACTTCACAACATATCAAAATTAGTATGCTTGTCTTTTTCTATCCTTACAACATTAACTATTTACATCTTTTGTCACTTCGCCAATTACCAGGTGTGACGTGAAATATGGGGTCTTTGTTTTCATATTTGTTTTTGATTAGGGATTTGGAGATTCTTTCATAGTTATTAATAATGTGTAATTGTTTTGAGAACATGTTAATATCTTTTGTCCACTTATCCATTTGGCTTTGATCTTATATATTTGTATTATTTCCCTAAATATAAAGAGTTAGAGATTTGCGAAGATATTTGATGCAAATTATTTTTTTGCCGATGGTATTTGTTGCAATTATGTTTCTCTGGTTTTTGTCCCCATCCACTCCGCTATTCCCCACAGTTTCCCACCGTATCTGAGTCATTGATTTTGGAGAAAAGCTTTTCAATATCATGGAATCAAAAAGTTATCTATCTTACCTTTTGTGATTGCCTTTGTTTGAGTAAGAATTTTTCCCCTAGCTATAGAAATAAAGTAAGTAATTTGGTTTTCATCCATTTTGTTTATGCTTTTAATGTGTTTTTAATAGTCACACTACATATCCATTTTGAGCTCATTGTGGTATACAAGGCAGGATATTGATCAAAATAAAATATCTGTCAAACTGTATTCTTTCCCCCAGTAGTACTTACCAAATATAGAGTCCTTTCCCAAGTAACTTGGGTTCTTCAGTTTATTAGAACTTTCACTGATCTAGTTTTCTATTATGATACATTACCACATAGTTTTAATTATTACTACTTTAATATTACAATTTCAAGTATGGGAGTGCTATTCTCATGAATGCCTAGCTCTTTTTAAAAAAAAAATCCACAAGTTTGTGAGATTTTACACTGTTATTTCTCCAACTGAGTTTTATTATCATCTTATCTAGTTCTATGAACAGTTTTTGGTAGTTTGGTTGGTATTGCACTCAATTTTTAAATTAATCTAGAAAGTGTATTTTGTTGCAATAACCAGAAGCAGAATACCCCTCTAATTATTTTAGGTGATCTTTATTACTTTACATTAGACTGGTTTGCAATTGCAGAAGACCTGAAATATGTATGCTTGGAGCGTGTCTTGGTAGACTGACTCTACTACTTTTTAGAAGTTCTAGTCATCATTCCTGTGACTTCGCCTTTTTATAGCTACCAAATCCCTCTATGTATTGTTTCCTCTTATTAGAACATAAGTCCTTTGAGGCCAGGAACAGGAAGGAAGGAAGAGAAGAATAGTAGGAGGAAGGGATAGAGGGAAGAAGGGAGGAGGGAAGGAGGGAAGGAAGGAAATAAAGAAGGGAGGGAGGAAAGGAGGGAGGTAGGGAGGCAAGAAGCAAAGAAGGAAGAAAACAAGCACTTATTAAGCACCTACGTCTCAGTCACTGCACTAAGCACTTAGAAATATTATCTCATTTAATCCTTATGACAAGGTAGGTGCTGGCATGTAGATGTTATTATTATCTCTATCTTATGGTTGATGAAACTAAGGCAGAGGTTAAGTAACCTGGCCTGGATCACACAGCTAGAAAGTTTCTGAGACCAGATTGGAACTCAGGTCTTCATGATTCTTGGCCCAACAATATATCCACTACATCACCTAGATGTCTCTCTTTTGTATTTATATCCTCAGTGCTTAGCACAGAGCTGGATGTTTAATATTTGCTTTTCATTATCTTTTCCATATCTTTTGTTCAAATTTTTTAAAAATTGTTTAAATTCCCTGTATAAATTACCACATTTAATGATGATGACGATGATGATGATGATGATGATGATGATAGTTAAAATTTATATAGCACCTTCTATGTGCCAGATACTGTGCTAAGCCCCTTACAATTATTATTTCCTTTCATTCTCACAACCTCTGGAAAGTAGATGCTACTGTTATCCCCATTTAACAGTTGAGAAAACTGAGGCAAATATTAAGTGACTTGCCCAGGTTCACATGGACAAGAAAGGTTAGATTTAGACTCAGGCCTTCCTGGCTCCAGGCCAGGCTTATATCTATTGTGCCACCTGTTTCTGAAGTTTAAACATATTTCGTTTTAAAAAAACAACAACATATATTTGTGTTATAAGTATTTTCTGGCATTGTCTACTAAAATCAGTTTGTTACATCTTCCCCTCAAGTTTCTTTTAGGTACTCCTGAGGAGGTAATGTCTCTTCATTAATACTATTGGCTTCAGCTTTCATTCCAAGTGTATTCCCTGCCCCCCCCCCATTTTTGGCCTCCATGATTCACACCCTAGTTACGTATAACAAGTTAACATCTATTAATTTTCACAAAAGGATATTTATTTTGAAGACATATGAAGAACAAAAGTAGAAATATTTCCCTCTAAAACTTCATTGATACTCTCTTCTCTATATCACCATTGTCTCTGGAGAGATTAGGCTTATTCTTAGCACAGTCATGCATAACACTGGTCTCACCCAGTTTACATCAAAATTCAGCATCACTACTAAATGAATCCTGTCTCAACTACCACTGGGTTGGATCCCCAAGGTCATTTGTTACTCCCTTAATACTGAGCTGGCTACAAAATTTAACATGAACTCTGACTTCCAAATTCATAGGCTTTTCAGATCTCAGGTCACCTACATTTCTGACTATTCAAAATTCACAAGGTCGTTGCTTCTGATGTATTTCAACTCAAATGGAAAACAAACAGACAAACAAATATTGATGCAAAGAACCAAGGTCAGTTTGGACCACATGCCAGCTTCTGACAGAGAAACCTCAAGGCTTCTTCCCTCATAAGATTGACTTTTTGCCAGATGCTGTTCAAACTAAGAACATAGATTCAAACAAGAAAGCAGAAGTGCGTAAGGCTGACTAAGGCCTTTTGAAGGAACAGCCACTTCTGGCCCCATAATTTTAGCCAGAAAGACTGATATCCACCAAGCGGATAGAAAACTGGAACCAGTTACAGAACGCCTAACCATGCTTCAGTCTCACTGAGGCAATCCCATTATATGTCATCTCAACTCTCCTGGGAAGTCTTCCTATGTATATTCTATGTATATAGAATCTATGTATATTCTAGTCTCCCATTACACTTCTTCATTTCTCTGCATCTTTTTTTGTAAAAGCACCATTGATGATACAAAATCTATATATACTTTACTGTTCTCATTCAGAAAATGTCATCTTTCAACTGTAAATTTTCCAATAATTTATTTATTTTTCTCTCTTTTTTATTTTTTTGAATTCTGAGAGAGGGGCATTAAAAATACTGAATTTATTCTGTTGAATCTATGTCTTTTTGCATTTCAGTATTTTTTTTAAATACCATATCCTAATAGGGTTAGGATAACTAATTTAAGAGATTAAGGTCAGGATAAATTGAATGGGTTGGATTTTCAATGATGTGGCTCAATGACTAATTGTTAGAGATAGTAACAGACAGAGGTACTTAATCTGGGAAACAAAGGGGTCTGTTTATAGATTTCTGGACCTAAGTGAACTTGGATGGAAAAAAGAACTACATTTTCATTATCACTAACCTTTGGTTAACTTTGTAATTCTATGTGTCTTGTTTTGTTCATTAAAAACATTTAGAAAGGGAGAGAGGCATGGTCGTAACTAGTCTGGCAAGAGGTTCATGACACCAAAAAGGTCAAGAGTCCCTTGTGTAACTTATGTGTAAGTAAATAAGTAAATTATTTGTAAGTTATTCTGCAACTTGGAAACTTATGTTTCCAGGAATGGTTGGGCTAGAACCCATGACCTCTCTTCTGATTCTGTGATCCTAAATTTGTGAAAATTAGCCCTTTAGATAAAAAAAAAAAACCTGAATAGTTTTTCCCTCTCAGATTATCATGTAGACTTATTCAAAGTTGCTTTTTCATGATGATGATGATGATGATGATATATATGTATATATATATATCCTTAAATGATGATGATGATGAAATTAATAATAGTAATAGCAGGCAACATTTACATAACATTTAATGGTATAAAAGCACTTTACTAATATTATCTTATTTTATCCTAAAAAATAATTAACAAGCCCTGTGAAGAAGATGCTATTATTTCCCTACAGATGAAGAAACTGAAGATGGAGGAGGTTAAGTGATTTGTTGAAGGTCACACACCTAATAAATCCCAGAGACTGAACTAGAACTCAGCTCTTTGCCTTTCCAAATCCAGCATTCTGTCCCTCTGTCCTCTATCTCACAAGATTGGAGGAAGTATAGAGCAGTGCAAAGAACGGTGGGTTTGGAGCCAGCAGACCTCAATTTGAATCCTGCCTCCAACACTGACTAACAGTGTGACTCTAATCTTTAGTTTCCTCATCTGCTAAATTGGTGGGGCTGGGGAGAAAGGTTGGATAGTGATCTCTTTACTCTCTTCTACCTTTAAATCCTGTAACCTGCAGTGTGGGTTTTCCAGACTCACTGAAAAATCCTTAGAAACCTGTGCCTGTGATTTTCCCCTGGAGATATCAGAATGTTTGCACTGCCTGACCCACTTTTCCTTGTTGCCTCTCATTCCATGCAGGAGAAGCCCTACCAATGCTCTCAGTGCAACAAAGCCTTCAGTCAGAAACGAGGCCTGGATGAGCACATGAGGACACACACCGGTGAGAAGCCATTCCAGTGCGATGTAAGTGCCTTCCTCAGGTCTTCCCTGAGTACAGAGAGGGCCTCTGATTATCTTGTGCTTCAGGATTTGCTCACAAGCCCAAAGGCCATCATTGCACCAGCCCTGCTTGCTGGTGATGAAATGACTAGACAAATGTGTTTCATGGCTTAGCGTCCATGAAGCCTTTTATTTTCGAAGCACAATTTAGCTGTTCTTCTGAGTCAAAAGTTCACAATGCTGTCCATAGGCTCTCTTGCACCTGTCCAGCCTTTGAGCAGGTCAAGACATGTTAAGATCTTGGCTTGTCAAAGGTTACTGTTACTGTCTGGTAAGAAAGATGAGCAAATAATGAATTAGTTACCGCAATGGGAATTATTATTTGATATGCCCTTCTACACCTCATAAAACTCTGGAACTCTGTGTATGGAAGGGATTTCCCTGGGTAGGTTAATAACCTGGCTGTTTAATCTTCCAGACCAGAAGCTCATATAGGAACCTAGACTGATCTCAGTGCCTGCAAAACATCACTTCATTTATAGAAAAACATCAGGCCAGTCTTATGTAAACTATGAATGAATATGCACCTGAACTTAACTGAGGAAATGAACGTGAACATTTTTTTAATGAGTTAAAAAAAATAGGGTATTTTTTAGTTCATTTTTGAGTGATGTTGAAAGTTTGAGAAGAAAAGTCAAGAGGGAAGGAACAGGGGACGCACCAAAGGAGTGAGTGTGTATGTGTGAGTGTGAGTGTGAGTGTGTGTGTGTGTGTGTGTGTGTATTTAAGATCCCACTTAGCTATGTGACCCTCTGTGTCACTTCTGACTATTCATGGCCCCATTTGGGGTTATCTTGGCAGAGATACTGGAGTGATTTGTTTTTTATTCAATCCTACAGCCCCAGCAGGTCAGTGCTATTATAATTCATGCCATTTTCCAAATGAAGAAACTGAGACCCAGAAAGATGACATTATTTGCTCACAGTTCCATAGCTACTAAAGTCAGAGGTCAAATTTGAATTCAGGTCCTCCCGACTCCAAGTCTGGTGTTCTAAATGAGGAAAGAGAAATTTGCCAGTGAAGCACTTGGATTTGGTTGCTTTATGATTTCTTATTAAAGCCCCAGCAGAGGACTTTCTGGCCATGTAGCAGACAGATTCCCGATGACTGCCTCGGGCACTGCCCACACTGCCATTTCATCCTTCCTTCTGCCTGGCCACTGAAGGGGATCCCACCATTTCATTTCTATCTCTTTTCTCTTCTGGGCTTCAAGGACTATCTTAATTCTGAAGCGTTGTCATTGATTCCAGCCACTCTCGCCACCTGCTCTGTCTGCTGCCAGCTTGTCATCTGTCTAATCTCTCCCCAGTGGCTGGTGAATGCCAGCGGCTGGCCTTCTGGCCTAGGATTTTGTACATCTTAAACATAGTGAAACACAGAACTTTTCAAGGAATGTCCTTTTTTATTTTAAAAGAGGTTTTATTTAAGAAAGTGGTGGTCGAGAAGTCAAGTGGAAGAAATGTGGTTATTTCATACTTGGGCATTAGGATAGGAATGATGATAAAAATGATAATGATAATCATAATAATTCTTATTATGAATAGCTAATTTGGATGGTGCTTTAAGGTCTGCAAACCACTATTCTCATATTATGACCCTAGTAATAGTCTGCTTTTCCATGAAAACAGCAAATGGCCATTTATCTTAATTCAATCTTTCTTTTTCATTGAGTTTTGTTCATGTGAGTGAAGAGACTAGGAAAAGACACTGGGGACGTGGGAAATAAGGAAACAATTTTTGTTTTGGCCCCTTGATACTATTAATGCCTAATTTGTACTTCTGCGGTCTGTAGGGACTGCCTTCCCAGGGCAAGTAGTTTCTGCAGGTGCTTTCATTATTTTCTCTGAGGAACACTCCTCTTAAGAAGCATATTGGACTCCCCACCACCCACTCTGAGAGCCCTCCCTTTCTCCTCCTCCCTTTCTGGTCCAATCCTCTCCATGACATTTCACCCCAGACTTTATATAGGACCCTGTGTTTTGAACCTCTCTAATATTAGTAATAATAATTAACAATAACAATGATAGCTGACAGTTATATAGCACTTTAAGTTTTACAAAGTGCTTTACAATTGTTTTCTTATTTTATTTTCACAACTATCCTGGGAAGTAGGTGCTATTATCATCCTCCTTTTACACAGGAGAAAACTGAGGAGATCGGAATTTAAATGACTTGCCTAGGGTCACACAACCATTATGTGGCTGAGGGAGAATTTCAACTCAAGTCTTACTGACTCCATTTCCAGCAGTCCACCCAATACATCGCCTGGGTACTTCTAAGGTACTTAAAGTGTGTATTTGTACGTGATACTTATCTTGAAGGGTGCTTTATCCTTCCCACTCGACTGGGTTCTAGGGGGCAGGGATTGTGCTTCTTCTAAATTTGTCATCTCCTGAGACAAACCTGGAGCTGACCAAACAACAGGCATTGAACACATTTGTGGAATTCTATTTTTGTTGTTGTTGTTATAGTTCATATAACCATTGTTATGACCATTTATGGCCCCATATCCACAGAGGCCAAGTGCATATTCTGAAGACTGCTATAGTCAGGAAGACCCTCCAACAGCCCAGTATTAGCCAAAAACACAGTGTGCCCCCAGCCTTTTTTTAAATTTAGGTGAAAAATTCTATGAATCATATATACATGTTCCTCCATCAATGGCAGACAAATGGTGAGTGTATAATTATTATGAGGAGGATCACTGACATGAGTGGCACAGTGGAGAGAGTGCTTGGAATCACAAAGACCTGAGTTCAAATTCAGCCTCAGAAACTTACTAGCTATTCAATCCTTGGCAAGCCATTTGACTTCTTGACTGCCTCAGTTTCTTCATCTGTGCAATAAGAATAATAATAACATTTACCTTCCAGTGTGGTGCGGATCAAATGCAATAATATTTATAAAACACTTAATATGGCGTCTGGCATATAGTAGGGGTGTGTATAGGTGTGTGTATTAGCTATTATTATCATCGTCATCATCATCACTTAAATAGACCTTTAATATTTACAGAGTACTTTACATTAGAATTTCAGCAGTCCTGGTAGTAGATATTACAGATATTTTTATCTTCTTTCTAAAGATACGCAAGATTTAATGTAGGGCTATTACCACCACCATCATCATCATGATAGTTCACATTTCTGTAACCCTTCCAGATTGGAGAAGCACTTTCCACACCTTACCTTGACTTCCATGGCAATCCTGAGAGGTAGACATCATCATCATCCCCTCGGTATTAGCTGTGGGACCAGAGGCTGAAAGGTCAGATAACTTGGCCAGGGTCACAGCTAATCTGTTATCAGAGGGGAGATCTGCACCGGGTCTTTTTGACTCTGCATCTGGCACTCTATCCACTCCGCTCAGAGCTATCCAGACTAGCCTTACCAAGACTCTGAAACCTAATTCATCCTGATAGTTTTGGAAGTGAACACATCTGTCTGTGCTCATTCGGGCTCTCCTTCCCGTCACTCTCCCCTGTCCCAAACTGGGGTGGGGGGGTGCTTAGAGCTTCAATTTCCTTCCCTTAGGTGAGTAATTGCTCTGCTGCTCATTCATTTCCTTCTAATAACCTATTGATACAAATGGTTACAATTTACCAATCTAGCTATTAATAACAAATTGACCAGCAGAGCCTATCACCAAGTGCCAAAAAGATTATTTGGGATCAAAATGATGTTGTCAGAGTAAAGTATTTTTACAGGCTTCATGGGGGGAAAATCACCTTTCCTGCATCTGTGCTTTTTTTTTTTTTTTGGCAGGTGGAAATCCTTTCTTTTTTTTCTGTAATCCCAAATAGACATGCTTTGGGGGAGGACCTTGGTTGATTTCACCACTATGCAGTTTAATAAAGTTGAAAGGATGTGAGAAATAAGACCCCTCTGCTGCAATGAGCCCAGTTCCCTCTTGTAAAATGAGGAGGTTGTACTTTATGGTTTTCGAGGTCTCCCTATTTTGAAATGATTCCATGATTAACAGAAGGGAAGGGTTTATGTGATTTGAGGTAACAGTGAAGGTGGAAAGCAGGGTGCCCTTCCATGCAACACAACTCATACAACTCCTGACCTTGTGCCCTGTGGAACCTTTGTCCCATCGTAGAAAAACTCCCTTTCATCCTTTGGCTCGTCCTCATCTCTTCCCTCCACCACCGGCTTTTTATAGAGAATCTCACTTCCTCTCAGGCCATGCCACCATCACCTGCTTCTTTCTCCCATACGGGTCTCACCTTGTCACATCTCCCCCCACCCTCATTGCTCTGAGATTTAACTCCCAAGTCAGTGATTTGTGCCAGGGCCCTTCTCATCATTGCAAACCCTAACTCAGTCATTAGTCGTGCTATTCTATGCAGGTCACTTCAAGTCTGCTTCGGTTTTCACATCTATAAATGGCATTGTTGTCAGGCTCAAATAAGATCAAGTGATATCACATATGTAAACAGCTTTGAAGATTCAAAGCATCACAAAACTGCCTATTAGCAGTATTATTAGTGTCCTACGTAAGACATGATTCTGACGTTCCTTTGTGTCTGACTCTCCGTGACCCCATTGGGGGTTTTCTTGGCAAAGATACTGGAGTGGTTTGCCATTTCCTTCTCCAGTTCATTTCACAGATGAAAAAACTGAGGCAAACAGAGTGAAGTGACTTGCCTAGGGTCACACAGCCAGTAAATCCGAGGCCAGATTTTGAACTCAAGTCTTCCTGACTCTAGGCCTGGCGCTCCACCCACTGTGCCGCCTGGCTGCCTCACCCCTAAGGTCTCAGAGTCAGTGATCTGCTTCTTCAGCCACAACTTGCTTATCTGCTCTTGCTTGCACTCCTTTGTCTACTGCACCATTCTCCTGCCTCTCACTTAGTGAACGAATAGCTCCTCACACTTACTCTGCTTAGCTTGCTGGTGCGGTGGATGGACTGCTGACCTGGGAGTCAGGAAGACTTGAGTTCAAATTATACTTCAGACACTTACCATGGAACTCTGCACAAGTCATCGAACTTTCCTCTTAGTCTTAGTTTTCTTATCTGTAAAATGGAGAAAATATAATACCTACTTCACAAATGTTTTCAGGACTAAATATGACAACACAGGGAACATATTTTGAAAATCTTAAAGCACTATATAAATGCTAACTGCAATTATTGTTTTAGTAGTAGTAGTAGTAGTAATAGGAGAAGGAGGAGGAGGAGGTAGGGGAGGAGGGGGAGGAGGAG